TATACTTATGGGCGTAAATATAAAATTGATATATCTCAATTATCAAAATAATAATTCAATTATATTCCCGAGAAATTATTTCGAATTATATCTCGTTTATTTTAAAAACAATCAATTCTTGATCTCGAAATGAATATCGAATGATTTTCATAGAACTAAGGAAAGTGGAAGGAATACCATTTTGAATCTTCATAATCGAATTAGTAAATACTAGTTGTTAATTCTGAATCTTTAATTGAGTATTTTCAACTCGTGCTACTCGTGGGACTAGTTGTTAAACAAATATAATTTAATAAAAGATTTTTCGCTTATAATGGGAGTGGGGATAAAGTGAGGGTTTTGAAAATTGTCAAACAAATTCAAATAAATGTCAAACAAAACGATGGTAAAAAAAAAATGAGACATTCAAATTATTTAGACTAGTGGAGGCTGTAGACATATGAATTCAGCCCCTACTCATAGTTTTTGTTATTATATAAAAACTATTGTGAAACAAATGATGAACAAATTATCTGCAAAATAATTTTTTAAAATATTTTTGGTGAGGGGGCTGGGGACATGTACATGATTGATAGCGTACCATATTATAATTTATTAATGCGATTTTATTTTACAAACGAAATCGGCTGTTAATGTGAAACTTTTATTTATGTATTTTTTTTTTCATTTATAAATTTATTTTCTTAACTATTGATACATTGTGTAATCATCGACTCGGAAATATTTCGTTTAGTATTTGAACGGTATAGTCAGTATTTATTAACTTTTAAGGGTCCTACAGTCCTATTTCCATACCAACATTAAATAAATTACAGGATTAGATACTTGCAAAAATATTGAAACGTGCTATTGTATAAGGCTATAATGTTTTTTAAAATATGCTTCTTTATAGTTTTTGATCTAGCTCCCATTTTTTATTATGTGTTTTATTATTACATTATTAATTATTAATTATACAATCATTTTATCAACAAATCGATACATTTTTATTAAATTAAATTTTTTTTCTTTTTGGAAACACGATCTAATTTCGTTGTAAATATTCCCATATCTTATCAATACTGCCAGAAAAAAAGAAAACAGAATTTTAACGTATATATAAACAATTAAATGTACATTAAGAAGACAACTTTTGTGAGCTTGAACACTTGGAATTTACAAAAAGAAACAACTAAGCGTTTTCAGATGAGAAAATATTTAATTACTAACCTTTTTATAGAACTTAAGCCCTTAAAAAAACATACCTAACCTTCATTTTTTTTGAATTATGCAAAAAATGAATACATAAATTAGAATATTCAATTATGAGTGTGATAAATTCTATTATTTATGCGTTTAATTCGCATGATTTAACGATAAAATATGCAAAATGTCAGCTACAATAAAATTGTAATAACTAAATGCTCATTTATATTTATAAAACATAACGTTGGGTTCAAAATAATATAATTTTTTAAAACTCATTTTCATCTAGTACCTAATCATTATATATATTTTTACTTTTTTTTACTCGTGCCTTGGAAATTGTTTTTTCGGAATGGCTCTAAGAAATATAAAACGGTTATAACGAAACTTTTCAATGAATTTAATATCAAATACGGACTGTGATTTTGTTACATTACTTTTAGCACTAACTGAGAATTCAACAGGAAATTACCCTTTCGTGTTAAAATTTAGATCATCTTAATAAATGGTTTTCACTCATAATTAGTTTTATACTTACGTATTTATGCTGCGTGCAAGGCAAAAATTATCACATTACGTAATTTTTATATAAAGCTAAAAATCATTGCTTTAGGTACCTACAATTTTTACAAAACGTATATCATTTATCAGTGGCGTACATTCAATCTTGCTCTGGAGAGGATTTAACAAAAATAATCTTTTTTTTTTCGTTGCACAGATAAATAAGATTAATAACTGCTATAAATAGATATTATTTTATACAAGTTTTTTACCAATTTACAGTTTACTTTTACATTACAGTAAATTAATAGCTATTGGAATATAAAAACAGCATAGTTAACAAAACTTTTCAAACACCTATCAATATAATTATTTAATTATCGTAATATTTGTATAGTTGTATATTTTAAATTTAAAACGTAATAATGAAACTACAAATATATTACACGTCATCAATAATAAAATAATTTTTTTTTTTTTTTTTGATCCTGGGGGTTGAACTCGGAAAGAGCACGAGACTTATATTTCACATTTCAAACTAAAACTTAAAATGTTATTGAAATGCATACACATATACATATGTTATGTTTTCATTATGTTTTTCCAACCAGAAAACTATTTGTTTCACAATTTATTTAATTAATATTTTTATTTTTTTTTTTTTATCTAAACTATTTCACATCAATTTATATTTCGATGATCGTTTCAGTGTGAGGCATATAATCAATAATAATTTCACACGTATAATTTTAAATGTAATTTACCGTGGTATACAATACAAACACGTAAAACCACACGATTAGTAGTATAATCATGTTCGCAACCCCGTCTATGCAACCACAATAAACATGTTATCATAGCTAGTGTTGGTTTCATTTATTTCTGTTATTCTTCTCGCTGTAAATATATCATAAACTGATACTGAATTTTAACCATATTAAAAAAACGTATAAGATAGTTTAGTATTCAAATGAAAATAAGTGTGTACTAATCCACCCGGTACCTGTATTCTTCGGTTGCATACTAGTTGCGTTTCAAACACATCTACAAAAAAAGCTAGGATTTTTTATTATTCAATTTGTGACCCAATGAATATTTGCCATAACTATCATAGTTGTATAATACAATTGTTCCACATTTGATAATACAGACAGCTAGCAATCATATATTTTAGGTCTAAAACATTATAACATAGGTATTGATTTTTAATATTTCAAGATGATTTTCAACCTTAGCTGATATAATATAACGACAGTTATATTGGTTCCAAAATACAATTTAGTCTTTGCTTTAATCGAACATTACATCGCTTTTCTAATTTTTAGGCACTAAACATATATTTAAAATAGGTATACAATTAATTGCACATAATTATGCATTTCATTTTTGTTCAAAATATATTTTTTCTTCTTTAAGAACCATTAACATTATAGTGTGTACAGGATAATTGTCTTACCAGTTTTCGGGTTATTTTATAGTTTTATTCATAAATATATATATGTATAATTGGATTAGTACATACTTTACTAATTAAAGGCGTTACCCTTATTAAAATTGAATAATTATTCATGTAATATAAATTACATTTTAAATCTAATTTTTGCTATTCATAAAGTTTATAATTATTAATTACTAATCTTATATATATAAAAATGGTCACCCGTTGGACCAACGTATTAAAATAAAATTTATAGTATTTTATATTTTCTTTCGAATCGTTTATAATTTGACAAATAATAAAAAAAAGAAAGAAAGAAGTTCTTGAACTTTATGAAATTATCTTATATTTTTAAACAGTATTAACCAAAAATAAATATTTTAATTTTGTTTGTCCTATAATATAAGATGGTATTTAAAATATTCATAAAATATACAGCAAGTGAATGTTTTCTAACTTAGTTGTAATTATCTTTTTACACTTTTTTTTCGTGAAAGTAAATGAATAAAATATACGAATAATATTTTTTTCGGCATTCGGAGGGCTTGTAAGAGTTATTTTTGTTTATGAAGAGATAAGCAATGGTATTTTAACTTAAATTATTTTGTATAATCTTTTTGAAAATTTCAGTTTTTCCTCACCAATAATACTCATTTGACACATGTTAAATCTTTTCGGTTAGTGTGATCGCTTACGGAAAGTTATATTTCTACGGAAGCTCTAACTAATCTAAATAATCTAATTAGATTAATACCCTCTATTTTATTTATTTTTATTTTATATTATTTCTGAAATTAAACTCAGCACACTGTTTCTGTTTTTATCCCTTTTTTCTTTAAAGATTATTTCCGTAATATGCCCTTTTCTTAACTTATGTGCATTTTAATGGGTAAGACACTTTCGAATTTTTTTACTTCAAAAACCCATTTTCTAATATTGTATTAGTTGGTCATTTATAATTATAACGTAATGATGTGTTTTTATTCGGCGTTTGATTGTAAATTATTGACATTATAGTGTAATTTTATTAAGTATTAAATATTATAAGTGATTTGTTTATTAAATTTATTTTATTTAATTATTTTAAGTTAAATATCTTCTATATATGCACGAATCATCGATTAATTAATGAACTCGTATTTGATAAAAAAATTAAACAATAAATCTTTTTATTTATATGTCAATGAATTTCAATATTAACTACTGATAATCCGATTTTTTTCAATTAAAGCTCTTAAATTGATTAGTTATTTGGAAGTAACTAAATTGGAATTCAAATTAAAGTCTCAAAGTCTCAACGAACTAAACAAAGAAATCGCTATGTATATATAATTTTTTTTTTGTGTAAATTTTGAAATTTGAAATTGATTATCAGCATTATTTTATTTATATAATATAATGAAAGTAGATTTGTATTTAATTCATAGTAATGTTCAGATAATAGATAATCAGGTAAATGTGCGTTGGAATACATTTGTTTGTCTAGTGGTAAAAAAAAAAACAAAATCAGATCTTGAATAAACTAATACATGTTTGGTAAAATATAAAAGTAATTAGTTTAAAAGGATAATGTACAGCTTTATTAGCATATCACCAATATGAATTAGTTCTACTTGAATAATAAAGTAAAGATTTTTATATGAACTTGCAAAGTGCATTGTTTTAAGTACAATAAATAGTAAAATAATGAAATGTATACTTTTATATAATAATAATAATTAATGATAAACTAAGAAAAAAAAAACTTTATTTAGTAAAGAAAAATGGTTTTTAGAATCGAAAAATAACTCAGCTAATATTTGCCGGAAGAACATAAATAAGTATAATTGGTTCGTTTGAACTATAAAAAATGATAAACAAAAATAACACAATCCAATTACTCAGCTTGTTAAAAACTTTTCTAATGTACATATAAATAATCGTATTTTATTTGAACGCACATTTGTAATAAAACGTGGAAAGCGCTATAGGATCGAACGTAAATGAATTCCCCGGTGGCGTATAATGTTCCATCGATATTGGCTGTTATCACTACAAAACGATATTTTTTTTTAAACATTATCTGATTAAGATATTAATATTATAAGCACTAACACTATTGGCTTTGATTATATTCATTTTCGCGTCTTTTCAATCGTCTTGCAACAAACGGAGTGAATAGATCCGGATTTAAATCTCGATTCTTCCCGCGAAATAATGCGCTCACAATCAACGCCACTACGAGCGTGACTAAAAATCCCAAAACTATGTAGTACATGTAACTGATTCGGTACAAATACATGTAATCGTCGTGATGAAAATCTCTGCACAATAAAAGCATAATAACAACAAAATAAATAAAATAATAAAATAATAATACTCATAATAATAGTACAGTACATAATTTAATCGATGATTTGAAATCCTGAACAAAATAATTAAATTGACAACATTTAAAGAATTTAGTAACTAAAGTTGATGGTATACAAATTCGGTGAATGTCTTCTTGGACAACATAGCTTAGAATTCGGTTTAGAATCATTGAATTCTAGGCTGTAGTATAACAATATAGCTTTTATTCATAAATAAATGAACGGTAAATGATCTCCAGACCTTCTAAGTAAAACTTTTTTTAAAAATTTCAAAAATTTTAATTCAATGAATAATCCTTTCGTAGCACCTTTTAAACGTGTTCTGGAATATCTTATTTTAGATGTATATATGTAATAAAAACCACTTTTATTTAAAAAATACAATAATAAATATTGGTTCAACCAACAATATTCCCAACTAATACTTCATTGTATTCTAAATGTATTTTTTGGTGTTTTACGAGTAATTATTAAATTACACGTTGTGAAATCTAATCATTAAAAACAGCTCTACCCGTTAGCCTTTTTGTCGGGGTGTTAGAAACTGTAAATAAACAGTATAATATATATATGCAATATTATTATAATGTGTGTGGTCGTGTCGCTTAAATTTTCAGCTTTATTTCTGCTCACTTGACATGAAATCGTTGGAATTTCATTTTAAAAGAAAATAAGCAGAAGTTAAGAGGAGAAAAATTAAAATAAAAAAAAAAAAAAACATTTAAAAAGACTTTTGTAAATTATTTCTACCACGTAGTCGTTTCACCAAACAACGCGCTGGACATAAATTATTTTAGACACGCGACGTAGTACTTCATTACCCCAACGGTAGACCTGATGCGTTAGAAGATGAACGATTGGTGACCACGGTGCATGCTTCCGTGGACGTAGGTAGGTTTTCGATCGGTGGTTTGGGTCCACCGAAACCGAGGACGGATGTGAACGCCAAACCTAGTAGCAGACCGGTGACCGCGCCCTGGTAGAGAATGAAAAAAAAATGATAAACATTTTTTTTTCGCGCTAAGTCGAAACGCATCGCAACCCTGTCGCGAATAGGATTACGTTTTGGTTGACGAAAGGGACGAGCACTCCCAGTGTGAAAACCGCGGAAACAGGTCCTCCGATCACTCCGAATATGGTCAGCGCGCCTTGGTACACCGAACCGAAATATTTCGCCAGGAACGCTAACACGATGCAAACGCTGCCGTACGTGAGCACCATGATCTTCATGCAACCGACTCGGTACTCATCGGACATTTCCCGCGCTTTAAACGGCTGTACATGAGATAAAGAACGACACAAAAATTCACTTTCGAGCGTGATAATCTTAATAATAATAATTAAATTTTTATGGCGCATAGTTCGCATGATTCGATTTACCTTAATGTAGTCTTCCACCGTGATGGCTGCCAGGGAATTGAGTATAGGGGACACAGAACTCAACGCCGACGAGAATATTCCGGCCACGAACAGTCCGGTCAATCCGGGTATGGAACCCATTGTATCCATCGCGTACAACGGCATCAACTGATCTCCACTCGATATACGCCCGGATCTTCGGAAATCATTAGTTTATTACAAACACGTGCATTTTATTAACAAACAATATGTTGCGTGCACATAATATGAATTATTCACCTATAATTATTATATATATATATATGTGTGTGTATTTAAACAAAAAGCGTAACGTTTTGTTTGATTAGAATCCTCGGTCTACCATATATACTGGTGATTCTCATCCGTCCTTTAGCTGCCATCATACGGAAAAGTGAAATAAACATTTTTGTAACAGGTGAATCAACCCACAGATTTTCATACCCCTCCACTACAGTATGATATTCCTAGGACTAAAGTCCATGGATATATATTACCCCAAATATCCTAGTAATATTATACTTCCCGTAATATAAGCCTAGAAATACGATACGCCAGGGGGTTATGATAATCTTGAGATATCCGTCTTGTCGAATATGTACATGGAAGTATAAATAACCAGGAGAAATCGTACCCCTTGTATTAGTTCATTCTTGTAGAAAATATATTTATTTTTCACAAATAAGAATTAGTCCACTGGTATTAATATATTCTGTAATTATCGTATTTATTACATACCGTATTTTTTTTTTAAAAAAACTTTTTATATTGAAAATAAAAAAAATAAATAAATTTTTAGTATAAGTACTTCAAAGTACACGTTTTTGGAAAAAGGAAATTAGCCGAATAAATCACTGTTAAACACGTTATTGGCTGGAACGAAATGTTTTTCCTAGATTATTTATACCCTCGAGTACATATCCGTTTGTACAAACAGGTGTTCTAGGAATATCATATACCCCGGGCTTATTGTATTCCAAGGTTTCATAATGAGGGTTACGGTCTTCGTAAGCTGTTTATACCTTCTAAGGAACGACAAATTTTCTAAGTTTTAGTTCCTGGTGGCATTATAATATTATAGAGTATGACTGTAACATAATGAATTTTAATAATATTATAAAAGTAATAAGTTTAAAAACTACTAAAGATGATCAAATGCTTATGATCTTAGCTGTTAGATATTACATTCCATATTCAGAAGTTTGTTTTATAAATTTATGGATCGAAGATCTAAATGTACTGTATGAAAACAATCAAGGCTTATATATGATACATTGTTCAGAATAGTTTCTGTATTTCAGTTTTTTCTCATCAGTTCTTAGAATTTAATATATATATATATATAAATATGAATAATAAATGTTTAACCAACACCATTAGAAAAAAGTTTACCGTTTATTAGCACTCCTTCACCCCCCCACTCTTTCTAGGTTGAGAGCCATTGATTTATATAGTTACGAGCGTATGAAAATGCTGTTAAAACTATTTCACGAATCGAAAAAAGTTTTATCGGTACCGCGATGAATTATGTTTATCCGTTAACGAATATATAATATTTAATAATTTTAAATTTTACAATCGTGAATTTCACGTTTCCATTTTAATGAAACCCCCTTTGATATTAATAAATATAAACAAATTTTTTCTGCACGCAACAATGAGCGAACTGCAGTGAGTCCATAAAATATTAAAGTAATAATTACTTGATTGGATCGCATCCGTAATATTTTGAAAACATCGCCAGACCTGAAAAACTTGTCAAAAGACTTATCATCACCATTAGGGGCAAGCTCCACCATAACGCCGCCACGGCACTTTTGTAATCTTTCATCGTTAATAATCTCTGCATTTGTGTCTGGTTTACAGCGTACAAAGAAAAATGAGTGAAAGTACCCCCAATTATTATGCTAAACCAACTATGCCGCACTGTCGGATCAATATTAAAACTGAAATAAATAATAAACATCACGTGAACTAGTTTTTATTATAAAATAATTATTTTCATTACTTCCTCTTCTAAACGATAAATCACAACGATGCGTGCAAACAAAAATATAATATGAACCATATAATTTACTTTCGTTTCAATCACAATCTACAAGTGAGTGTGTAATGTATCTTACTGGATGTACGGTTTCTGATTCGGACCAGAGGAATAAAGCGAAACGAACATTAATGGAATTTCACCTCTAAGTACCCAAAACAACGTTGTCACCATACAAACCGCAAGACGTTTTACGTTTTAACTAGTTCGTTGTATCAATTGCTATTATTTTCTGATATCACAACAATAATGTTCATAATTCTAAAACAATTTATATTTGAAATGTTTAACCCCAGCAAAATCTATCTGGAATCCACCGTTTATTGACGTTCATGATTATTATCGGCGTAGCCGGTGTATGTGACAACACGTAATATCCTAATTGATATTCCATAATAAGCATATTAATCGATCGAGAATTCTAATATTACTTTCCAAAATCGATTCGTCCATATTCTTCAGCAATTTTCCAAATGTTCAATACTCCGCCTTGTTCGTACACTGCTATTCCGATCACCGCGATTATCGATGAATACATGAGTAGCGACTAAAACAATATTGTAATTCGATTTCGTTATCTTTTTGTGAGGTTTTTTTTTCATTTCACACCAAACCAACACGAAAAAACAACAAAATGATCGGTCGATTGCGGTTTGCTAAACAGCGCGGAAATGTGTTAATCAAAATCGTCTAATCGACTGGCACTCAAAACTTACAGCACAGCGATCCTCAAACAACTGTGTTCCATAAAAGTGATCTAAGGGTTCCTCGGGGACACATCTGAATCAAATGAAATTTAGATATATCTGTTAAATTGTTATATATATATATATATAGATTGTACATAATTTGGACCGTACCATCTGAAAATAACCAATACAGTTTATTGGTAGTGTTGATAATATAAATAAATCCCTACGTCATGTATTTTAAAGATATATACATTATGTCGACCCACCATCGATTTGACCAGAACGATTGCTCCGATCAATACAATCACACTAGGTTTTTGATAGTCTATTTTTTAACTGTCTAGCAGTTTTCATAATAACTGAGTAAAACGGAGAAAAAACTACAGAAAACATCAACCTAGTTTCGAATATTTGATAGCACACAATTACATTATACTATTAAATAACTTATAGCATTTTATAGATATTTCATAACTTTAATGATGTTTTTCCTGATAATATGCAATAAAGATAATCGATTTAAAGTTAATACTTAAATTAAAACCTATAATATATTGTTAAAAAATTTGGTCATATCAATCATCTCTGGAAATATAAACCGATCCATTATTTGACTTATTTCATTAAGAATCGCCCTAAGCAATAGTGCATTATTGGTTTCAAGTATAAAATGAACCATCCGTCCTTGCATGCAATTGACCATAGAGTTTCAATGTTTTTTATGATAATTGTTTTAAAATTGGCACTCCTAGTTTTCAAGGATCCAGGATTTTTTTATTCGTGTTAACGTCTTAAGGGGGTCGTGAATAAATAAATTTGAGAACCGCGGTGCTGTTATGAAGAAAATTAAAAATTAAAAATTAAACCGTTTTACGCGATTACTTGAAATAAATCCGTGATGATAACCGCTTTTATTCCTCCTATCGTCGAGTAGAACACGCACACCATACCGACGAGCACAATGGAAACGGTCCGGGGTAATCCGGTCACGGCTTCCAGAGTTAGTGCCGGAACGTACAGCACTATTGCCATGTACAATATCATTTGTACGCTGAAAGCTAACGACGTCGCCACTCGTGTTACGCTGCCGAATCGTTTTTCCAAATACTGCGGAACATAGACGAAATACAATGTTATCGTTATAATATTATAATATTATACTACAGCGAGCTTATGCGTTGATTACATCCGGTTAGGGGAGGAGTAATCGTTTGGGTCTACGACTTGGGCCCGAAATGTATCCGTACCCGCCCGCAAATCATGATCCTCGATAATTTCGAAACAATCTAAATAAAACACTTTTAATTGCATTGGTGATTTTATGGATAAACGATTTTTTTTTCGCAACTTTAATAGTATATGAACATTTTATTAGAAATTATTTATTCCTGTAAAAGGTTCTGTTAAATGCATTGTGTGTGGTACTAAATTGCGCACATCTACCAAAATTATGATATAATTGCGCAAATTTATAACACTCGTTTACTCACAAATTATACACGTATACTTATATCCCTTCCCATTCCTACAGAATCAGACTTACCTGCGAACATTTTAACTTCAAGGATGTAGTTAAAAATGAGTTTTTTTGCACTTTTTTGGTTTTAAAATGAAATATATAAAATTATATAGAAAGCGTCTATTTTTAAGATTTACCGCGAAAACAGTTACCCGTTTCTCAGTTCCAAGTACTTTAGTAGATCCCTTTCAGAACTTAAATTTTTCGTCTATGCATATTTCATGTACTTGGTTGTTCGTATTTTGACTTTTCGACGATGGTTACGAACATTGTTCTTTTTTATGGAATTTTAATTTAAGTGCAGTTTCTATATAAATAGCTGTTTAATTGATAGTTAAAATTCCAATGCAACGCTTCTGCTCCATTAGTTGTTTTTTGTTGAATAATTAATAACTAAATGAGTGGTTAATCGAAATCTAATCTAATCCTCCAAAATCGTATTATCACGTGGTGAATTCCATCGAATGATCTCTTATATCTTATTTCGTATGCAACCCCGTTTCCGGTTGTAAATAGAAAACTGTAAAATGTGCACAAACTAGCTGTGATCCTTATTTCATGTGAAGACAATAACGTTTTATTAGATCACCCGCCTCGCCCAAGGAAAATGCTGTCAACACGGGTGCCCATCGTGTTCCGTCTTCAGGGCCTGATTTAGGAATTTCGAGGCCCTTAAGCAAAATAAAAAAAATTTAGAATTTTAGGATAATTATTTTATTTTATTTTATTTTTTTTAAAATTATATTTTGCTTATATTAATTTTATACGATGGAAGTTGTATTCTAAAAAAGTCTTTGTTAAAAGCCTCTCCCTCTTAATAACGGAAAGCCATAGCCAGTTGCCTATCATATTTAACGATAAATATGATCCTTTCGTCGTCGCTCGTTTTACCTCGTAAAGCGACAAGTTGCCAAGTTTAAAGAACACCGGCAAGTACACGTATCCAACCACGGGAATGGCGAGCGTATACCCGATGACCACGATGGAGAACTGCGTGCTGTGGTAAAATATCTCTGCACTCAGACCATACATGAGAATGGCTGACGTGAAACTTGCCATCAGAGAAAACGCCACCGGCAGAACTTTTTGATTCTTGTTGCCCAACATGTATTCCTAAGGTAATGAAGAAAGTGGAAAAAAATTAACAATTTTATATTAATAATAATAATAGTATCGTTCCAAATAATACCTATGTTTTTGGTACCAAACACCTAAGGTGGCGCAATTATTAGCCTACGCAAAGACTTAATAAGGATGATGATAATAATAATAATAATAATAAAATAATAATAAAAATTGTTTATTGCTTAAAAAAATTATTAATATCGACAATTATTGAAGTCCGTTATCCCCAAATATCACCGATTATGAATTTACAAGTTACAAGTAACTATAAAATTAGATTAAATCTTATTTTATAATATATTATTTCATAAGCTGTATGGGTATTTTTTTTATTTGGGTTCCGCTGATTAATTTTATATTAATTATACCAATTCTATATACTCAATGATTTTAAATGTAATCACTTTTATCGATTATACATAATTTCTGTGCATTGAATTAAATAAATAATAGGTTGTACAATGACATGCTCCGAGTATTTAAATATCTGTTTTTTTCTGCAGATTTTGAAAAATAATATTGTTTGATAAACAATTTGAAATCATTACATTATAACATATACCAATTTTTTAAAATTCTTATCGACAGCATTTTATAAACTTGAATTTATTTTTTGAATGGTAATATTTAATTAACTAAAAATATTTACAGAATAACGGACAGAATCGTAGACATTTTCCAAAAAAAATTTCATTTTGTATTATTTGTGTATCAAAACTTTAAATGTTCATAAATAATTGACAACTAATTATAAATACGAGTTTAACGTATTGACATTCTCAACAATTGTTCTGTTTAAAGATTAGAAATTTGAAAATTAGTGCCACAACAGAAAGAAGAAAGATTTAAAATTGTACTGTATATTTCATAAAACTAATAGTTTACTCAAGTTGAATCGCTCTAGTCTATATAATTCAAAACAATATAATTTAAAAAAATAAATAATATGCTATATTCGACAAAGACGGTTTGCACTAGAGACGACGTGACCACACGGGCAGTGGCAGTTTTTAGAATGTTTTCTAAGGAGGCGCAGATAAATGTCATTTTATGTAACCTTTTAATATGTTAAGACACAAAAATATTCAACTCGTTAATAATTAAAACCACTTAAAATGTAATCGAAAAATACATAACACAGCATTATATACACAACAATATATACACAGTATAAGCTCCGGAGACCTGTGAAACCGCCACAACCATGGCCGTATCTGAGGGAGGGTTCAAGGTGTCTGGATCCCCTCCGAAATTTCTTCAATATTTTACGAATGTTTAAAAAAATTATTTATTTTAAATACCAACATAAATATTTTTGTTCAAAAATTATTTAAGCTCCAATTAATCATTGACTGCTTTTAATTTTATATCATAATATCATATGAAAATGTGATATTAATTTTAATAAAATAATATTAAATCTTTTTCTATCTTATTCTTAACGAAATATCAAAAGTCAAAATCTAAATTCAATAAAATTACAATATAATGTTTTGGACCCCTCCCGAAAAAAATTTCTAGATACGGCCATGGCCACCACATACACGTATCATTTGAAATTATCTTCGTTGTCCCCTCGGACAAGATCGAATGGAGATCGCGAACGTGGTTTATGTGCAGGACGAGAAACGTAGGCGAACAGCAATGAACAATACTTCGCCAGTGTTACGCGGAGCGAGTACCGTAGTTAAGGTTAGGACCAGATAACTAAAATATTATCTGGATAAAGATAACAGCAAAAAAAAATTATCGAAAATACAGATAAAAAATAAATAATCTAGATAAAATACAAATATACATACATATACATGTATATTAATATAAATATAATATTTAATAAAATTTTACCGTTATGTCTGTTATAGTATCTATTTTATTGGATTATGTTGGTCCGACTTTAGCTGTAGTATATCAGTTATTAACTTAACACAAGCTATCGTTATAAAATTCGGTATGATGAACCAATAGACCAATAACGAAAGTTAAAAACTTAATTTTCAAAATCAACATGAATATTTAAAAAAAAATATATATACAGAAATTGTTATATTTTTTTCACGGTAATAATTTATATTTGAAGACTTATTATTATTTTATTTATAAGAGCATTTGAGGTAAAGGGAATAAAACGTCGAAAACTAAAAATGTTCTGATTATTTTTATCAACATCAAAAATCTATCTCAATTTAAAAATTATTTAGCTTGGTGGAATATATTGGCTGGACCCATTTCGCCCAAAAATAAACCTGTCCGTTTTATCCAGATACCCGTTTCGCTTAAATGTTGTTATTATAAGATTCCCGTTTCGCTCTGACTAATTTAGATAAATTTAAAATCAAGTTGGCAATGATCATTTTAAATGATATTATGTTGTAGTATACTTTTATTTTAAATTATATAGTATTGTAATATTTGAGTATCATTTAGCGTTATCCAGAGAAAACTACGAGGAGGCGATACTGTGTGTACTCTCCAAAAAGTTGCTTTTGAGTTCGCAAAAATGGTAACATTTAAAATTTAGTCCAAAACACTTATAATAACGTATTATTGTAAACCAAATGTACTCAAATACATCACAATACTTATAAAAGCATATTATTAAAGAAATCAAACTTGCACAATATTTATAAAAATTTGTCAACTTGATTTTAAACTTATCCAAACTGATCTGGGCCAAACGAGAATTTTATAATAAAAAAAAAATTTGGACGAAACGGGCTACGCCCGAATATTTGCCTGTAAAGTAAAAATATGTAGACAACCTATAAACGTATATGTGAAACGATAAACGCGTGAATATAACCATCTACAACACGATCGTAACACTGCACCTGAGTGGTCTTCTGTTTGCCGCCGGTGAACCGGTAGTAGACGCCGACCGAGGCGGACGCGATCAACGTGAACGCGAACACGACGTAGTCGGCGATGCCCAACGGTGCCATGACGGCCGCGCGGCCCTCTTCGACGGCGAAGGGGTTGGCCCAGCCGGTCGGGAAACGCGCGTCGGCTGCGCCACGAGGTTTCGTATTCGTGCCCGGTTCCCGGCGCGACCGCGTTCTCTCGCCGGCGACTGACCGGTTCCACCGGAACTCTGCGCGAGTACGGACGCGACGGTCGCGACCACCCGCAGTCGGGATCGAGTCCGTTTCACGCGCGAACCGACGTGCGAATCGCGTGTGCGACGAACGATTCGGTCGTCCGACGATTGGCGGTGCCGCGGTACGCGGACGGACAGTGCGACCCAGCGGCGTAGCCAGGTGGGGGGGGATGGCCTTAACGAGTTATAACCCCCCCCCTCCTACCTAGTAAGTTATTATAGTATACGATCGTTTTAAGACGTACGTGCAATGTTATATTGTATCATGTCGTCGTCAAACGTTTTTTCACGGTTTCGACAAACTATATATAATAACAAATTTTATATTTTGACTTATGTTTGATGGACTTATCAAAATTAAAAAGTTAGCACTTGATCATGAGAGAGAGAGAGAGAGAGAGAGAGAGAGTTGAAAATGTAAAACCCTCCCCAAAAATATTTTTCTAGCTAGGCCACTGGTGTGACCCGCTCGGGCGGCCTCGTGGCATGTCTTTAGAACGCCAAACACGTCACCAGTCCGACGACGTACAGTTGGACCAATTGTTTCGTCCGCTCACCCAATCCTGCATTGCCTTCGGTTACTTATGAACCGATTTTTATTAGACATTCGATCACGGCGCGTTGGTATTTTTCCACGTCCATTAGTGTAAAATCTGTGCACGGTTGCGATTTTTCGGGAACCGAACATTCAAAAACTGGGCCAGTCGTTACGAATTCGATTACGAATGTTTAACGTGATCTCATACATATCGCTAAACTATATTGCTACAACAAACACAACGTTTAGAAAATAAATAAATAAACATTAGTATCCGTGGAGATATCTGTCTGTTTATTCGAACATTATTTGAAAAATACATCTAGAAAGTCATTTAGCGTTTTTCACTGGCTGGAGTATTTGATTTTTTTTTTTTTTGCATTTTTAATGAATACATATTACTGACTTACCAGTGAGCGCTTAAAATGCATTACTTATTAAAATCACGAAAACGGTTATTTACGAGAATACAATTATCACGCATAATCAGTGAACACTTATTAAATAAAATCACTTTTCAGAAGACTAGCTCATCTTAATGTGTATATACACATAACAGAAGAACCTTTAAATTTCTATTTAAAATGTATAGTTCGTAGTACGAACATTTAAAAACGATAGGCACTTGTTTTCAAAACTTTGCGTACTGCGTAATATAAAACGGTAAAATAATGTATTTTATTTATAATTTTTCTAAAAGTTCCTGATTATTCGAAAATCCAATATCGATCCTCCGGTGGTCTATAATGTATAATCAAGTTAAAATTACTACGCAGGAGTTCAGGTGCATCGACGTTACTTGGTTTTTTACTACTACTGCTACAACTTCGCCGGATCATATGATGTAAAAATAATTAACCATCGGTTTTGATTGACTACAATTTGAAATTTGAAAAAAAAAAAATAATCGGTTGCGATATAAACGATGTGGAAATAAGCAATTAAGAAAAAATATCACTCTGTGTATTATATTATGAGCAATGTTAAAAGTGTTTTAATATTTAAAAAAGATCGACACCGAAATCCATGAAAAAAAACAAATTAATCCAGTAGGAGTGTACGAATGATTAAATGGATTATTTTCATATCCTTTTATTACCTATACTTATTTTACGACCGATTTCAAGTGGGCATGAAAAAAACTGCACACCTTATCATACAAGGCTACACGATACGTGATGTAAATCGTATTGTTAACAAAATACTATATTATTATATAGGGTATCCTAGGATGATTCGACAAATGCAAAAATACTTTTGTTCTGTTTATTATTTTTATTCATTATTTTTTTTATTTATTTTTTTTTATTTTTTTATAAATGTTTAGTAACTGTGCTACAACAAAAATGCATTAAAAGATTTTTTTTGATTTCTAGAACTCAAATTTAAAAATTTGAAATTTTATTCTACAGTTTGAAAAAAAATTCAAAAAAACCATTTTGGAAACCAGATTCTTAAAAAAAAAATATTGGTGCTTAAAAATCTAATTAAGGTAGATCCGTTAATTTTCTATGATCTTTTGAATTTTGTGAAAAAGTCAACAATATTATTATATAAATATTGCTATAAATATATATATTAATATCTGATTGAAATTAATTTTATTACAACATTTTTAATTATTATTTTAATTATTAAATAAAATTTTCCAAAACTTTGAAAATTCATAATAAATCAAAGGTTAAACTATAACAAGTTATTTTAAAACCATAAATTTTCTATAAACCTATTTAAAAAATATTTATTTAAAATTTTTTTCAAACTGTAGGATAACATTTCAAATTTTCATTTTGAGTTCTAATTATTAAAATAAATCTTTTAATACAATGTTACTGTTGCGCAGGACCTAAGAAATTATTAAAAAAAAAAAAAAAAATAATAATAGACAAAACAAAAGTTATTATTTTATCTGTCGAATCATCCTGAGACACCCTATATATAACGTTTAATATTTTCCAAACGCTTGAAGGATATATCGTACACGCTTTAGATTCAAACACGAATAAAGTGCGAACGGAAACGAAAGAAAAAATAATAATAACCAACTCACATAACATCATATATAACTGATGTGCCACTGGAAAAATATGTCTTTAAAATGGTTTTCTGTGGATCAATAACAACTTAGTACACAAAATATATACATTTTATATGTTTTTTTCTTAATCTTCACAAATAAAAATCGTATGTTATGCTCAAGTACATCAAAATGAAATTGTACTATTATTGAAATTTTTTTCTTTACTGGGCTTATGTACTTTAATCATAGCCGATGAACAATCATGACAAACTTTGTATATAGTGAAATTGAGTTTATCAACTACGTGCGATAAAAAATTGAAATAACGATTAAAATAGTCGTTCTTGATCACAGGTTGGTGACCCTCAAGGAGTAGGTTCGTCAAACAACGCTCCAACAAATTTATATTTGGGAAACGTTGCAAAATATTAAATTGTAATTAGTTAAATAAAAATTACTTTGATGAAAACAGAGTTTTTAAATTAATTTACTTTATTTTACAATTAAAGTGTTCACCAACTGTAAAATTGTTTTAGTTAAAAAGGGAAAAAAAAATGATGTATTAAAATCTACGACGTTTTATGTAAATTAGTTTATATTATTAAACGGCGAGTAAAATATTATCACCGTCCTAAAAACAAATGCGACCAAAATAGTATTATATATTAACCAATATTCTATTCACATAAATTATTCGTTTAATTTCTCTTAAAGATTTTAAATTACATTTACTATATTATAAATGTATTTTATACGAATAGGTGTTAATATTATCTTTGTCAAGAACCGTATCGTGTGATAAACTTGTGAAACCAATGTCGTTTTTTATCTAATGTGTAGATTATTTTTTATATTTTGTGGATGAAAATTAATACTTTATACCAAATGAATACAAAAAATACGTCACCACTGTACTTGTCATCCTAATGATATATTCAAAGCGCCAGTGTTACTAACTACCAGCTACAAAGTCAGTGTTGCATGAAGAACAAAGCGACAATAAAGACAAACGATTAAATATCTCGATGGGTTTATATTTATGTTCACTACTAGCCGAATGGATCATTAATATTTTATAACAAAAAGCTGATCATAAAAAATAATAATTATTTTCTTGGTACAACATGCGTTTTTCAATAAAAGTATAGAAGTACTCAACAGAACATTACTCTAAATGACGTATAGAAAATTTAATCGGGGTCGATTGAATACATACAATCAAAAAAAAAAAAAAAAGTTCTATCATGCTTTCTCGAACTCCGAAACCTCGAAAACATTGAAAAATCGATTTTTTTTTTTGTTAACAGGCAAACTACGTATATAATGTGAATTGCATTATTCATATATTAAGCATTTTTTTTCTACATTATTTTATGTTTTCATGTATATGTATATATTTATATATATATACATACATATGGAATAATAAAGTAACATCTTGTTGATAACTCTAATTTTATAGTACGGATACATTGACCTTTCATTGTGAATTGGTGTTATATTTTAGATTCTGAATAAAACCATGTCTTACCCTGATATGTGCATGTGTGTGTATTTTATTTTTTGATTATTTTACTGTTTTTAATCAAAAAGATGCTGTGATCATCACAATCGTATGAGGTTTTTGAGGGAGTTTCGTTTTGATAACCATTTTTTAATTCTAACATAGTTTTCTGAATAATTGAGAAAAATAGACGAATTATTACACTATACAAAAAAATGTAGGATACACTGATTTTCAAATTCGATATTATTTTTTACTGTAACTTGAAGAATTATAACTATAGGAACTTAAAATTTTCACTGAACGCTTATGAAATCGTCGTTTATACAATTAATTTTCAAAAGATTTCTATTTTTTTGTGTAATTTATGGATATTTGAATATGTAGTGCTTTTTTTTTTTTGTAAAATTTGGATGAAATAATATTAGTTTGACAAAAAGTCTTGAATATATAATTAAAGTTTTTTATACACGTATTTTCTCGGTTAATGAAAAAAAGAAATTGGGTGGTTTTCATAAATAATATTGCGTTAGAATATAATTATTATTTTGAAATAATGAACCATATCATGAAAATTTCGTTATTTTTGTAGTCAAAAATTCATAAGTCTTTTAATTTTAAAACTCAAGATTTAAAAATACAATACAATAATTTTTATAACATTTCTTTTATAAGCATTACAAAAATATTTTAGCCGAAAATCAAAAAGATGTTCATTCATAAATAATTTTCGATATGAAATATTATTTAGTTGGTAAGATAGATGTGTAGTTTTACAAAATTCTCAATAGTTTCCAAAATAATTGCAAAGAAACTGACAACATTTATCAATTTTATCGACCCATATCATACCTCTTATTTTCATTTTTCCGAAAGCAGTGGTACATTAGTTTCAAGTTTAAAAGATCAAAACAACTATATAATTTGTTCATCCCTGCATCTCATTTGACAGTGGAGTTTTACCTGACTTAGAAGTTTGGCCCTTTTTTTTTAATGCTTGTGGTTTTAAACTATGAATTTTTATGATGCATTTTTTTCTTATTCACTTTCATTTGG